ATGTTACAAATACAAGTCTCACAAGTAAGCTTTGCATTTGTTTCTTGATTGCATGAGTAAATACTTGTAGAATCACCTAATGCTACAGTTAAGGCTTCATCCTGTTTCGCATTTAACCATTATACACAACTCTTTATCATCACATTAAATCACAATAGGATACACTGATGTTCGTTGGATGTAATGTAGCAAAATTCAGAAAAAAAGCCCCAATGAATTCCAAAACATGAGTATTACCACTTTAAAGTCCCCAAGCAGTCCATTTTAAGAACAGTAATTCATTATTCATGAGGGAGCGGCTCATCTAGCTTCTCTGAAGTGTCACATTGTTTTCCAAAAAAAAAACTGCTCACTGACACATCCTGCCTCTGTCTCTCTCCTGCATACAGTCATCTTTCAAGTGTCTCTAAGGTTGGTACAGACAGATTTTATCATTGCTTTTCCATAATTCCATTATTTTGCAACTAGATGATTTTCAGTGAATCATAATGCCTTTTTACAGTTCAGATTCTTGAAGCAAGCATGTGCCTACTGAATCTCAGGAGCACAGAATTTACAACATTACCTCATCAGTGCTCAGTTTCTTTTTGTTCAGAAAGCATTTGTTAACCCAGAAAAGATGTTAATCTGAGACAATACAGAAAAGCTAAGCAGAGTTGACAAACTTTTTTTCACGTCTCTGAAAACCACAAACAAAACTGCTGAAGACCTGCTGTGAAAAATGAACCTCTTGAAACTGAAGGATAGCTTAATGTGCAACCAGCATTTATTTTACACCATAAAAACTCACTTGACTAAATCAAAGCAAAACAGAATAAATACATCTTCTACAAACTGGCTCCTTATTTAATACCTTGTCTCATAAGAGTTTAAAACTTTTTGAATAAACAAATGATAAAGTATTTGCAATAATAATTATTTTAGAATGTTAATTTTGTAAAGATGAAATTTCATTTTGCATTACAGATCCTTATAATAAGTAAGTGCAGCACTATTTAGTAAAAAAAAAAAAAAAAAACACTTAAACATGGTTGAAATTTTCCACCATTCATTTGTGCCTTGTAGTTGCTCAATGGCTGATTTTATGTAACTAACAGGAGCTTTGCAGTGAGCCTCCTTTCTCTGGATTAACTGAATAATATTGTGTTATGTTCTACGTAGTGGTGGGGAGAGCAGGCAGTGTGTGTGTGTGTGTGTGTGTGTGTGTGTGTGTGTGTGTGTGTGTGTGTGTGTGTGTGTGTGTGTGTGTGTGTGTGTGTTGGGGTGTGTGTGACGGCTTGTGCATGTGTATGTGTGAGAGGGAATCATTGCTTCCTTGAGAGAACGACTGAATGAGGTCTTTTGTGTGCAGACCTCCTGGTGCTGACACCCTCTCAGCTGAGCTGGGCAGGCGGATGTCTCGCAGAAACTTTGACATAGCCCTTGGAGAGAGGACGACGCAGTGACACAGTCTGTGTTTGCGCTTCTATGTAGGTGTGTGAAGAGAAAGAGGACTTTATGTGGGGTTAGTTTGTATGTGTAGGCATGGAGCATTGGTGTTGCAGGACAGATTTACTCTTTTGAAGTAATGACATAACCAAAAGCTTGCAAAACAACTTAACTGAGTTTGGAGGGATTTCATTTTAATTATTTAGATTGTGTGGATTAGACTGCAGCTTTACTCTACTTTTGTAAGCAGATTTTTTGTTCAAACTGTTGGCAGACATACAGGTCACAAACTTTCCTTTGCTACAAGCTTTCCAAAAGTTTCAGAACCTGATCTGGACATGTTATAAAACCATGTTAGATGTGTATTCATATTTAAAAGACGTAGGCGAATAAATAAAAAATGCTTCCACTTTTAAAATATTAACGTTAGATATGTTTTATAAAGTTACATCAGAACAGGCATGTCTTTTTTTCAGAGAAATCTACCATATAAGGAGAAAGAGTTTGCCTGTGTGATTTATATTCACATCAAACCATCCTAGAACAAACAAACTTCAAGCATTTCTGGCTCAGGCCAGTGCACACTGTCAAGCAGCTTGTGGTTTAAACTCACAGTCAGTGTTTTTTGGGGACAGTTTGGATTTGTTAAAGTAGGTGTGATTATAAAAATTTGAAACATTAGGGAGAGATGTGAGTATTGCTCAAAGTTCCAACCAATACATTTTAAAAGACAACTCCAGAACTAAACTCTCAAATCAACTGTTTGTGATTTTTTTTTAAATCGCACTTCCAAACTCACATTTTGTGCAACCAAGATTTTGAGGTTCTTTTAAAATTAACCTATTTTAGCTACACAACTGCTGTTTATGTTCAAGACTTCAAAAATGGCAGCCAAAACAACAACTTAAAATGTGTATGTTCAAACCAAAAAGTTAAAGTTTATGTAGCAGAGGAAACATATATTTCTATCTGAAACACACATGATCAACTGGAATCATATTGAAGTATATCACAAGTCAAAATATCAATAAGTCATATCAAAGCACAGTGTAAAAATGCTAACTTTAGCACTTTAGTTATTTTTTTAGTTTACTGTTGACTAACTGTATTTTTTGAGTTGTGAAACATATATAGAGGTGTCAAGTTGGTACAAAATGTTTTTTTTTTTAAGAAAAACAGATAATGAGATGTCTGAAACATGATGAGAAAGTTAAGTAGGATGCAAACCTCATAAGACATGAGTTGGTTATGGGGGACAGGGTTCTCTTTTAAAGTTACCCAGCAAAAATTTAACAGCAGTAATCTGAGTTATTTACACTCTCGTAAGAGAAAAATTGGGAGGTGGAAAGGGTTATTCATGTTCTTCATTCATTTATAAATGTCCCAATTTCACACTTAATATTTAGTTAGCATTTTTAATATTTAGTTTATAAATTAAATATGTGTGTCTTGTTTTGTTTTATTTTTGTGAACCAAAAATAAAACAATTACACATGATCACTGTGATCCGGTGATTTATTGTTTTACTTAAAGTTGTGACATCATGTGAATCTCAATCCTGCTCAGGTCTACTCACAACTCTAACACAGACCATGTAACAGGAATAAAATGTGTTATTCTTTTGCATTTTATAGCTCCTGATTTGGCAGTGATTTTAAATCGGCATCAGACTGGGACACTGTCTTGCAAGCACATGCAGATATATTAGGGGCAAGAAAAAAAAAAGATCTCCAATATAAATTATTCCTATTTTATCCACATCAGAAACTCTGCAAAGGTTCACACCTCAAGAAATATGAACTTGTGCGTTAAAGTTTTCTAAAGGTTGTGCTTTAACACCTCAGAGAGCCTAAACGCATGCGCGTGTGATTGAGATCCAATTACCACAGTGGTCTCAGCAGAGGGCCTCGGATGTTTCAGCTGGAACAACATCCAAAAGCACCGAGAAGCGTCATGCACATGCTTTTACTCACAACTTCCGGTGTTATGAATATAAAAATAAACAGCGGGTTGGGAATTGAAATAAATGCTCACGGTATCTATCTTGTTTAGTTCACCGACATAGTTGAAAATAAGAAAATCGCATTTGACACATAACGACGTAAGGTGAAGGACTTTATCTGTGTTTTGCTGTCGTCAATTATTGATAAGGCTGCCAAACCCGTTTTGCAGTGTGTCGCTCCCTCTAATATTCAAATGACATTCTCAGTTTGTTACATTACATGCGATTGAAGCTCAAACGAAGACATATGTATTAATATTTTCAAAAAGTATAACATGCGTTACTTTAATAGGTTTCTGTCATTTATTAGTAACTTGACGTAAGTCGACAAAATCAAGAGGAAACTCACCGGTGCAGGTTTCCTGTGCCCAGGCTTGAAACCGTTAACCCACTGGTTCTTTGCGTCGGTCTGTGGATGCTGTGAGCCCAGTGAGGTCGGAGAGTGCCCACGCGCGTTCGCGTTGTTGTATATGGAACGCGCGTGTGGATGGCAGGTCGCGTGGGGAGGAAGAAGGAGATAGGGAGGGGGGCTTCTCTCTGCTTTGTGATTGGACTCGTGAAGGTGGCGCGTGCGAGAGACCGACCAGCGATAGACAGAAGAAGGTCTCGAGGTGACTACACGGGTTACTGGCGGTCACAAGAAAGACAAGGCCATGCGCACGACAGTCACGCGCACGCGCAACTTGCGACTTTTTAAAATAATCATCCACAAATATGGTGTATGAGAGAGGCTACAGCAGCACACTGGCAGCTCGTTTAGATTGTTTTAGGGTTATTTAAGATAAACAAATAGATACATAAAGCTTATTTTATCTTTTTATGCGTTTTGTCGTTGACAGAGCCTGCCCGAGGAATAAATAAACTTTGGACTCTTTTTGCCTGCTTGCCTGGAAACTTCAGAATATGAATCAATACCAGTTATGTTGACAAACGTATCAGTTCAAGTTTCTTATACAGCCTGGAAAACCATCGGATTAAAATATTTTCTACTGGGATAAGAATGGAAAAGAAAGTGAATAGAAAAATGATTTTATTTCCAGAAGTAGCCTAATTGTTTCTTGTTTAACAATGTCATCCATCCATCCATCCATCCATCCATCCATCCATCCATCCATCCATCCATCCATCCATCCATCCATCCATCCATCCATCCATCCATCCATCCATTCATCCATCCATCCATCCATCGAAGCAGTTCTCCATTTCTCCACTTGTTCTACCTAAGAATAACAAACTATTTATTGTTGTCTTTTTTCCTTCTTCTCCTTTCAGAATTTTGAATTTAATTCTTTTTGGGAAAGGAAAGGGTGAATCAAAAGTATACTATAAATTGTTGACCTGCTAGTTTACACCTGAAAGAGCATAAAATAAATAATGAGAACTGAAGGAAAAAAAAGACAACAATTATATATTTAGGAAAGCATTACGTGTTTATTTTCATGGCAAAAACTAAATAAAAAAACTAAACCGATTGCGTGGACATATATATCACACAGTCATGTACCGTAGATGGCGGTATAGACTCCAATAGCTTGCGATCCGATTTTGAATCAGGCACTGCAGCAGACAGCTTTATTCGACAAGTAGGGTCCTTTCATTCCTGAGCTAACTAGGATTAGCAGCTAAACATGCCGACTGTCGGAGTTAAAAGGGACTTTCTCTTCAAAGCTTTGGGCAGAACATACAGTAAGTTTTGCCGTTTTCTTTCATAATTAACTGATAAATTATCTGTCTTTGAGTCTATGAGCCTTTTAGACTTTGAAAGAAGTAAGAAAGCATAATAACAGAGGCTGAACTTGCTACCTGTCAGCTCATTGATTGAGTGCTAACAGCTAATTTTAGCTAACCATCAAGTTTTTTCCCCATAACTTTTTTAGCTTGTGAAAAACATACGTGAGGGCAGATTTATGTTTATTTAAACATGAGTTAATTGTCACTAGTGTTTGTGTTAGTTTAATAAACTACAACGCCTCATGTCTCTTCAGCTTATGTCTGTATGGTTGCATCATTTCCTCTCCAAGCTGTAGACACATCATCGGATGGCTGATGAACTGGTTATACATTATTATTGACAGTTTTTCTCTTGTTGTAGCTGATGAGGAGTTTGACGAGTTATGCTTTGAGTTCGGGCTGGAGTTGGATGAAATTGTAAGTGATTTATTTTGGTCACATAAACCCAAAATGCTTGTTCATATTTGACAAACAAAAACATTGTAGCTTTACTGGCATAACTGCCTACATGCACTTACAAGGAATCTGGAATTTTCTTTCAACAAAAAGTAAAACATAAAGTAATAGATGATTACTAAATACAACAACAAAAGAAAATTATAAACCATCATTTCTCTGTTTCTATCCCAGACCTCAGAAAGGGAGATAATCAGCAAGGAGCAGGGTGACTCTAAAGCTTCAGATGCATCTGATGTTATTCTGTATAAGATCGATGTGCCAGCTAACCGCTACGACCTGCTCTGTCTGGAAGGGCTTGTCCGTGGTTTACAGGTCTTCAAGAATAAGTGAGTCACACTCTGCTTCATTGAATGAGAATCTTATCAAGTATGATCAAATGGTTTTTTGGGGGAAAGAATTGCAAAATTTCTAACTTAAATACAAACATTTATTGTTGTTAAAAGCATCTTTTTTTTCTTGAATTGTTTTACTTTTGATGCAAATAAAAACATTGTTTCAGGCTCGAGGCGCCTCGATACAGACGCTTGAGCCCAGGCAGTGGGGAGCCGCAGAGGTTGATCATCACTAAAGAGGTGTGTGAGAAGAGATTTGTTTTGCTGTCTGAAGTTGCCTTTGCAACTAATTTTAAATTTTGTAGAGAATAAAGTGTTTTTGATGTGTTTTTTTCCAGACAGCAGCAGTGCGACCCCATGCAGTGGCAGCAGTGTTGAGGAACATCACTTTCACTCAGCAGCGCTATGACAGTTTCATTGAGCTGCAGGAGAAGCTACATCAGAACATCTGCAGGTCAGTGCAGAAGAATAATAAAGTATGATCACCAGGTGGAGGTTTCTATCACTTCTGTAGTGTTTTACTGAGCTGATCCACTCACAACATAGACTGTTGGCCAGCGCTAAGCTGCTATAGAAATTGTCACAATATCTTTTAGTACTTTTATGATAACAGTAAAAATGTTACTGTTATTACGTTTTTGTCTTGTAACTCCCCAGCTCTGATTACATAGCACAGCAATCATAGCCCCACACAGATACAGCTTTTGAAAACCATATGCATTTGCATTATCCTTCTTTACGACATTAGGCACAAAGAAGTGTGGTTTGTACCACCGAACTGCTCACACATTTGCATATTGGTCTTTATTCATACTTTAGTTGAAAAAATTATGGAAAAAATAGTAGAAGTAACAGACCTGACATTAGGGACTGTGTTTTTTGTTTGTTTGTTTTTTACATCATTAGAATTTATTGTGACACAGCTAATTCAAAATTATAATAAGAAATTTGTCACAATAACTGATAAATGATGCATGGTTATTTTTGTTCTCCATGTTTTTAGTTTTTATTTAATTTTAATGTAGAGAAATTATCATTTTATATTAATATTGAGGAAAGGATTCAACATAACGGCTTAATAAATCGGACTACGCAGATGAATTCAAAGTGCTGACATAGAGCAACGAGTTAGGCTTTTCCAAAGACAATAACCAATAAAACTTATTGACAGAGACAGAAAAAACATTTATCCTTTTCATTTATTCCAATTGAGTGAAGTATTCAATCAATCAATCAATCAATCAATCAATCAATCAATCAATCAATCAATCAATCAATCAATCAATCAATCAATCAAATTTTATTTGTATAGCACATTTCAGCAAGGCATTTCAAAGTGCTTTACATCATAAACACAAGAACACAAAGTCATGCATCATGGAATAAACAATACATTGTTACATATTACATTTCAAATACAATTCTAAACAGGTGTGTTTTTAATTAACAATATTAACTGTGTTTATCCAGGAAGAGGAGCCTGGTTGCCATTGGCACTCATGACCTGGACACCATCTCAGGCCCGTTCACCTACACAGCCAAAGCTCCTGGAGACATCTGCTTCAGACCGCTGAACCAGACCAAAGAGTACACGGCTACCCAGCTCATGAGCCTCTACAAGGTAAACGGCTGATTTAGATAAGTGGATTTTAGTCCTCACAGCAGCTCATTATGCTAACAGCTAACCCAATCGTAATCATGTTGTTCACACAGTCAGACAGTCACTTGAGACATTATCTCCCTATTATTGAAGACAAGCCTGTGTATCCAGTCATTTATGACAGCAACGGCATGGTACTGTCGATGCCTCCTATAATCAATGGTGAGATTGTTTTTTTTCGTTTTGTGGTCACTTAAACTTATAAATAAACATAGCTACTGTACAGTTTAGACAAAACTGAGTTAGAAAGTTTGCTTTGGTTCCAGGGGACCATTCAAGAATCAATTTAAAGACAAAGAATGTCTTTATCGAGTGCACAGCAACTGATCTTACTAAGGTAATACCGAGACAAGACAAATACAAACTCATCACCTCTTATTGTTGCCATTAGACCCTCGCCATGTTCTTCCCTGCAGGCAAAGATTGTGTTGGACATGATTGTGACCATGTTCAGCGAGTATTGTGCTCAGCCTTTCACGTAAGTCTCTGTTCCTTCATCCACCTCTGATTGCTGAAATAGATTCTCACTTCTAGTTTTTGCCAAATAATTCACACCCCTCAAACTTTCGGACATAAACCTGCATGAAAATCACAAATATGTTACTACGATTTGCTGTGATAGATCAGCACAAAGTAGAAAATAATGAGGACATAAAATGAAAAAAGTTGGAAAATTAAAATTTCTTTGAATGTTTAAAAATCTAAAAAGTGTGTTTTTGTATTTAGCTTGGTCCTTGTAGCCATCCATAGAATTTCTGTTTTTTCTGTTTTTCTAAATAGTGTGAGCTCAGTCACACTGGACGAAGAGCATCTTTGAACAGCAGCTTTTAAGACTTGCCACAGATTCAGTTGTAGTTGAATTTATATGAATACTTTTCCAAGGCTGTGTACATTTTATAAAGTTGTTGCAAAATCTGTTGAAAAGTAGGGCTGCAACTAACAATTATTTTAGAAATTGATTGTTGTATTAATTTTTCTGATAATTGTTTAGATTAAAAAGTTAGTAATTCTACTTTTTTTTATTTTAACAATATGAGATCTACATTAAAGATTCAAATAAAAATAATTCAATTTTATGATAAGTATATCGCAGCCAATGGCCTTTTTCATCATCATTAATCCGATTAATTATTTCAGCCTATTGAAACATAACAAAATTCTGTTGCTAGAAAGTTTTTTATTAACATTGATATTGTAACAATCTCCTAGTGCAATCTTAAATTTTCTCCAGGTTTAAGCTGTTGGATGACTTCGTTTGCGCTTGCTTTGTTTTGTTAAGGTCACACTCACTGGCTTCACAACAAAAGCTCATTAATTCATTGAAAAAATTAAAATTTCTCATTTATTATGAATTTAATTTTTTTCTTCTCTGCAGGGTGGAGCAGGCTGAAGTGGTGTGCCCAGATGGAAAGATCTGCATATACCCCGTACTGTTTCTACTTCTGTTCTTCTTCTTTTGAACAATAATCACTTTACTGACATGGTTTCAAAGTTTTTGCTGTTTCCTGGTTTGTGTTGCAGGAATTAGCTTACAGGAAGGAGAAGCTGTCTGGCGAGTTCATCAACAGAAAAGTTGGCATTAGGTGACTCATTTGGATTACTTAATGTGTTAAAATATGCAAGTTATATACATTCAAACCAGCATTTATGCAGTTTCAAGGTTTTCAAGTAAATATTGAATCTTCTCAGATGTTGATTTGGTGAAGAATCAGTGTAGGTACTCTTAGAATGCTTTAGCAGTAATTATTGTACTTCATCCATTTGTTTTCAACAAACACAAAGATTTTTTTGTGGATATTTTTCCTTCATTCCTGCTCCCATCAGGGAATCAACAGAGAGAGTTGCTCAGCTCCTGACCCGGATGTGCCTCCTCTCCCAACCCACCGGCGTCGGTGATGAGATTGAGGTGGAGATCCCCCCGACCCGTCCAGACGTCATCCATGCCTGTGACATCATGGAGGACGCCGCCATCGCCTACGGGTTTAATAATATCACCCGCACGACACCACGCACCTACACAGTAGCCAACCAGGTGCCATGCTTTGGTTTCCTATTTTCATCTTTAGAAGCACCAGAAAATGTTGCATCTTGTGAAACTTGTTTTTGTTTGTTTGCAGTTTCCTCTCAATAAACTGACAGAGCTGCTGAGACAAGACCTGGCAGCTGCTGGATTCACAGAGGCTCTCAACTTTGCTCTGGTGAAAAGCCATAAAATTACGTTAATATAAACCTTAGCATGCTATTTTTGTCTCTGTAAACCTAAAAATTCTCATTATTTGACTTTTTGTAGTGTTCTCAAGAAGATATAGCAGACAAGCTTGGAAAAAAGATCTCGGAAACCCGAGCTATTCACATTTCCAACCCCAAGACTGCAGAGTTTCAGGTGAGATACAGTTTGACAGAAACAGAATAATTACGTACAAACTTTCTGAGCACAGACTCGCTCTGAGGTAAAGGATGAAGCAGATTACTTGTCTAATAAAAACGAATCTATCAGAATTTTCTTACTTTCTACCATCTGTCCTCTACTGTAATGTTAAGTCTCTCAAAACTGTTTTATATGTAACTTTAACATGAGTACTGTACAGATTTTACTATTTGACTGGAGATGCATTAATATATATATATTTTTTTTTCATTTCAACTGTACTTGACCGGAAGCATAAAATAGTTTTCTGATTAATGTTCACACCCCTACAATTTATTCTGAAAATGCTTTTATATGAACATGCTGTAACGGTGTTCAAAGCAATGTAAGAGGAAGCGCATTTAAAGCTATTTAAAAATGTGAAAGCTGTTTATAAAATTAATTGCTAGTTGGAGATGCTGCAGAAAGTTTAAAATGTCAATTCTGGAATCATTTTTCCTTGGCTTAAAATTATATTTTAAAATATTTTATATTTTTTGCAGTGAATCTCATCCCTTCATCTGATCTTGTAACGGAATAAGAAGTCAAACTTTTCAAACCATGTCGATCCGACTTGTACTGTTATTCTTCCACTAGGTGGTGCCCTTGTCCTCTTTAATAAATTGCCGCCATGCTTTCGACTTTTCCCATGTTTTTTTCTTTTCGTCCTCCACCAGGTGGCGCGCACCACTTTACTTCCTGGCCTGCTGAAAACCATAGCTGCCAACAGGAAGATGCCCCTTCCTCTCAAATTGTTTGAGATATCTGATGTGGTGCTGAAGGACGAGAGCAAAGGTGTGAACATGCGTGAGCGTGAAACGATGTGTGAACATGCGTGAGCGTGAAACGATGTATGACACTTTGCCCATTTGGGGGTTGATGTTGCCTGAGTAAAATCAGATATTTCTTTTTTTAGAGGACATTTATTTTGCGAGAAGATCTTTTAGGTGCACAAATACACTGTGTCAACAAATTTGAGCATCGTTACATTAAATCTTTTCATTCACCCAGATGTTGGGGCAAGGAACAGTCGGCGTTTTTGTGCCATTTATTACAACAAGACTCCGGGCTTTGAGGTGATCCACGGCCTGCTGGACCGAACCATGCAGCTGCTGGAGGTGAAAGCAGCTCGTGGAGAGGGATACCACATCCAGGCTGCAGACGGTAAGCAATCTGGACTCAACTAGGACTGGACATCAACAAGAAGTGTGCTCTGTTGGCTCAGAGTCCATTGAAACAGAAAAACACTGTTTTTATGGGGGGGATTTTTATTTTTATTTTAATGATCAGAAATGTGACATAAGGCAGGTTTTGTTGGGGATTATGTAAATCCCTAAACAGCATTGGTTGTTAGGAAAGGGCTGTTTCCATGGTAAATTGTGGAGTTAATGTCGGTGAAATCTGATGGGGTTTGAGGTGCAAAGGGAAGCAGTTTAGTGAGCATGTCTACTTTGTAAATGCAGCCAAAAATCTGGATGGTTACATAAATTACAAACAAAATTCCTAATGACTCATTCAGTTTGATTTTAAGATTTAAGTAGCAACACGGGGGCAGTAATGTTATTTTGACCAAATGATGTCATGAGCCGGATATAGTCATTTAGCTACAAAAAGAGCTTTTATGAAAAGCTCTGTGTTTAAGAAGCAAAGATGGGCAGAGGATCTACAAGTTGGCATCCAGTTGTTTAAAAATCAGTCCCGGTACAAAGGGGGAAGCACTTGATTCACCTCCTCCTAGTTCCAACCCCATGTGGTCACAAGATATGGCTCAGGATCAAAGAATTAAGAACCTGGATAAAAGTGAGTTCCCTGTATACACTCTCTGGAAGACTTGGCGAGTGTTTCTCCAGAGGGGGATCCCTGAGTTTCCCTACTGATGTCACAGGACTCCAGCACAGATGAGTGGAGAATAATGGTGGATGGTCAAATGGAAGCTCAACTCGTTCAGGAAGGAGCCTCCACAGCTCTTTACACGCCATTGCTTTCTGACCTCAGCTTGCTCTAAGAGATACATAGCATTATTCAGGCTAAAAATGTTTTTGTCTGAACCAATTAATGATTTAACGCGTTAATCCAAGGCAATAAATTTGATTCTGGAAAAGGATGGAATATTGACGCCACCCTCTTTGAGATTGTTCTGAATACATGATATCAGGGCTGAAATGATTAATACTATTAAGTGGGTTCAATTGATGATTGCACTAATCATCAACTAATTGAGTAATAATCGTCTTTCTTGAATAAGATTTTACTCTGTTGATTGGATAAAATGTAGGAACCCTGTGAATAAAAATCAGTACTGTGTAAGGGCTGTGGTTAGAACAAAACGAAACAAAAATTATAATATTTTAAGAAAGTTAGCAACTTTTCAGTATCAAGGAACTCCAGTTAGAATAAAAAATGTTACTTCTGGCTGCGTTATATGTTTTCACATCATTTTGCAAAAACAGGTCTCATTTTGTCCACCGTCCAATGCAGCAGTTGGATCAGTTTGTCAAATAAACTGGAACAACATTGGACTTTGTTTGTGCTATCATTTACTCAAACTTGTAAGATGAGACTCAGTGTTTATGAGGTTGTGGGCCAAAATGCAACCTTCTCCTTTTGTGATGAAATCTATCAGAATGACCTTCAAAAGGCTGTCTGTCACAATGAGAGATGAAGTAAGAAACTCAGAACCACAAGATTTTTCAAACCCCTGACCACAGTTCTGCATTGCAGAGGATGAATGTTATCAATGTGGAGGTGGAACAATAATATATGAGGAAGAATGTTAACTTAAAAAGCAGAAGAATGAGTCAGGCTGATTTTGTCTTCCATCTCTGTGACATTAGCAATTAGAGAGGTTTGTGTTTGTCTTGGCTTCTGTTTGCACTGCGATGGAGAAATCCATCGAAGTGTTGGATTTCTCACTCATCTGCTTTTCTCTATCTCTACCTACCGTTTACTCCCTTCATCCCTTGGCTTGCCTGCCTCCAAGGTCGTCCTCTCAGAGATCCTTCCGGTCTCAGACGGCCCATTCAGACTGCAAATCAATGCGCTTGAGTATCACTGGATAAGAGATGAGATCAGAGAGGATAAAGGGAGAGGTGGAGGAAAATAAGAGAGGAGACCAAAGAGTGTGACAGTGCGACGTAAACCTGGAGGAGTGTGCACCGCCTGCAGTGTAGAGATCGGGCATGGGAGTCACGTCAGCCACTGCAGTGCTCAGCAGAGGGACAGAAACACAGCACACAATTTTCTTTCTCACTTTTCCACACGCACTCTGCACCTTTTAATGCCTCATATACACATATGCCAGTGTGTCCTTAGCCCCATTACAAGGTCATGACCCCAGCTAATCTTTCAGGCATCCTCATGATATGTCCATCCAAAGGGCGAGGCAGGACCCCTCCAGGGGAGTCCATGTCAGGTTAGCTTCCGCTTCTAAATCTGGAGAAAGGGGATGACGTGACGAGCCGAGGGATCCACAGTCAGACGAGTCACTTAGGAGACAGATGCCCATGTTTCACCTAACAACTGTGTCCAATGCAAAGACCCGGTCCATTTGTCAAGGCAGGGACTTCTACCTCTTATTTGTTCAGATATCAATTTGATGTTGTCACACTTTGTGTGATTAAAATGTGGATGACTTCCATTATTTGAAATATATCCAGAACATAAAAGGTTTATATTCAAACTCAAATAGAATTTAAAATAATAAAAAAAAAGGTTAATCTCACCAAAGAAACGATTGTTGAACATATCTGTCATGCTCACTCAAGCCTAAGATATGTTATTCTTCATATCGGTGTTTCTCAAATTGTGGTACAAGTATCACTGTTGGTACTTATTTCTGTTCAGCTGGTAAAAGTTATGGCACACCCATGCATTTATTTGTTCTAAGCAACTGTTCAATTCCTGGATTGGCTCAGTTGCCTGGTGATAATGTAATGTACAGCTGTGCATCATCTGCATAACTATGGTAATTTATCTCATTTGTTAAATAGCAGGGACCCCAAGCTGGAACCTTGGGGTACACCGCATGGGATTTTTGTCAACTTTGATGAAAACTTGCACACTGGCTCAAACTTTCTTTCTTAAATAAGACTTGAACCAGAAAGTCTGAACAAGCTTAGAAACATGCAGAGGCAAATTACATCATATATTGTGTTCAATTCTTTCCATTTTATTTTTTTTAGAACTACTAATTTTGAGTGAATGCAAATTATGGCTGCTAGGAATGATGCTAGAGTTGTTCTAAAGTGAAAATAGGAATTTTGTTTAATACTCTCAAATCCAACAGCGGGGAAATAATCGATCCGCCTGCCGTTTCTGCTCCTGAAAGATGGAGAAGTGTGTGGAATGTTGGCAGGCTCCTGCGGAGGATTTTCATTGACTGATAAGTTATTTAGGATATACCCAGTGCTATTTAAATAGTTGCTATGGCTTCCCATTTATGGTGCAAGCTAATGACGTGTTTGCCAACGCAAGCAACCCCACTGATATAGTCTTGTTAATGGACACGGGGCTGAAGTGAGAGGGAGAATTACCCTGCCGTGGTGTCGTCCCCTCTCGCTCTGGTCCTCTTATTATTCCCCCACGGTGATGAGAGAACGTCCAGGCTGTGGGCTCTGGAACCCATTAGCAAGACAGCGTGGGAAGAAGCTAGGCATTATGGGAGCATGCCACGTTCGTGTATGTGTGTGGAAAAGGGGGCCGGGGGGTTGGTTACTGTAGTAACCACTGCTTCCTGTAATTTCCTGACAAGTCTGTTTGCCAGTCTGTTTGTGAAAAAATTGAGCATTCAGGTTTGAATATGATTAGAGTCTATGAGGACTTATGGAGTACGCCGATTTTTATCTGGGAGTTTTGTGGCACACAGGAAGTTGTGCCTCGTTCTGGGATCCGGAAGAGCTGAGAGCTGATGACGAACGTGGGTGAACAAATGATGATCATTAAGCCTGAACCGAGCAGTTTCACCCACACTCTGTGATTTACTCACACATCTGTGATGTGGAAGAAATCCTTGTTTTTCAAAGGGAAAATAATCTAAGGGAGACAAATGACAGCAGTAAAATCTGGCAGATAATAGAGACTACAGATGGTGGATTAGATAAATATACATAATAACCATGCTTTTGGTTCTTATTTTCCCATTCTTTTTAAGGGCTGAACTTCAGACATTCTTAAAAACAAGGAGAGAGGTTTTATGATAAAGATGGAGTTGATTGGCCACTGTGTCAAGAACAATCTCTTAGCGACTGAAAGTGTTGCTTTTGAACCAGTGGTGGCCGAAACCAGTTTCTAAAATTTACATTAAATCTAAACCTTATCGTTGAAACTTGGAAATATTTTGCTGCTCCACCAGGACAATAATCCGAAGCACACCTCAAGGCTATTCTTGGACAAGATGAAGCCAGCAGACAATGAGAACTCTGCCTTTCACGATTCTCATCTGCCTTCAGTGTTCTGTCTGAAATTTCTCCCATTGAGCTGGATTTCTTTGAGCTGCTTTTATACAAAAATGAGTTGTTACTATACACCTGTAGAAGCTTTTGGTCTTTTTCTGATGTTTTTCCAAGCTTACATTTTTTAAAAAAATGTTTCTTTCAGATTCCACCTTCTTCCCGGGTCGCTGTGCTGAGATCTTTGTCCGCGGGACGAGTGTAGGGCGTCTGGGAGTCCTTCACCCCGACGTCATCAGCCGCTTCGAGCTGACCATGCCCTGCTCTGCCTTGGAGATGGACCTCGAACCTTTCCTGTGATTTCACCTTCTTAAACGTCTACCAAACATTCATGAGTTGATAAGTCAACCATATATGTAGTTTGGTTTTGTGTTTATGGGATGTGATTTTGGTCAACTATGTAATTGGTGCACGAACCAACCGGTGTGTACAGCTTTGTAGTGTTGATCCAGTGGTTTTTAAATAACACGCCTGTTTTCACTAAATTAAAAATTAACAAGACTTCCTTGTCTTTGTGAGTCTATGTGTGGGTTTTGCATGCATGCATGCCCTTAATTTTGGCTTCTCATGCATTTATAGGTGCATGGTAAATAAACTCAGTGACTTATTATGTGTTGCTTTGATTCTTTCAGTGGCCACACTGCTGAAATCCTCCTCACACATGACGTTCCCATGCAGGAAACCTTCAAGCACCCGTTTCCAGCTTCCAGCCAATCCCAGCCAATTCTGCCATCTCACCTGCATTCAACTAAAACGGTGTTTGGCGATTTGAGCTCACAGGCAGGCCTCAAGGCACTTAATGACTTCCTGACAGACAAAAGCTACATAGAGGGTTTCACGGCGTCCCAAGCTGACGCCGCAGTGTTCGACGCCATCCCCTCTCCGCCCTCGCAGGCTTTTTGCCACCTCCGGCGCTGGTACTGCCACATCAAGTCCTTCCAGACGGAAAGAGCGCGTCTCCCGTCAGCCAGGAGTCGGTTTGTTCTCCCACCCACTCTGCCTGCCTCCCCAAACAACACGAGCGAAGATGACATCGACCTTTTTGGTTCAGATGATGACGACGAAGAGAGCACAGAGGCAGCTCGGCTCCGAGAGCAGCGCCTGGCCGAGTATGCCGCCAAGAGGGCTAAGAAGCCGACACTCGTTGCCAAGTCCTCCATCCTCCTCGATGTCAAGCCGTGGGACGACGAGACGGACATGGCCAAGATGGAAGAGTGCGTCCGTAGCGTCACTATGGAGGGCTTGCTGTGGGGGCAGTCCAAGCTGGTACCAGTCGGCTATGGAATCAAGAAGCTGCAGATAGGGTGCGTAGTGGAGGACGATAAAGTGGGCACGGATCTGCTGGAGGAAGCCATCACTGCTTTCGAAGAATACGTTCAATCTGTGGATGTGGCTGCCTTCAATAAGATCTGAATCGAACAGAATTAATCAACTGAATGATATTGCCTAATGTAACCTGGTCCCGGCTGTAGTCGGTGTGCTAGCTTTCCGTTGAAATTCAGGTGCGTCAAAGACTCAATATTCTTTGATCCGTTGCCTTGAAGCTTCAAATAAAAGCATTTTGATGTTTGGCTGAGTTCTCTTCTGAGTGCATCTTTTCATACGGCCTAATTCAGCATTTTCACTGAATCTGTTGATGTTTTATTGACTTCTCAAAGGGAAACTTGCAGTCAGTGAAGCTTTAAATTAAAGTAACCTGTGCAGAAGGCAATACATCTTGAAAATAAAGTCTGACAGGTGTGCCGGCATTCCTTCTTACTCGACTGCAGCAAAGCTTAACACTTACCATGCGATGAAGCAACAGATGGTCTGAACCAACCAGCAGATGGAGAGTCTGAATGTTGGAGGAAAGTAGACTACAGTATTCATACCCACTGAATTTTTTCACATTTCAAACGTTAGTTCTTTGGAGTGCTTTCATGTGACAGACCAACACAAAGTGCATACAGTGAACCCTGAATGATTCATATCGCTTTGTGTACGTTTTTCTGATAAGTTCCTTTTAACTGGAAGTGTTGATGTGATGTTGACCGAGCTTGAAACCTGATTTCAATCTGATAGAGAATCTGTAGAAAGGAGGTCTCCCAACAAATAAAAAGTGTTGCATTAATCACAAAGAAATGATTTAATCAAACTTTTTCTTCAAACTGATATTCTCAAAAATGTAACTGTTTGGTTAGTTGGTCTTTATGAATTGTTCTTAGGTGCTGGTGTGTATACACACGTTTTTTATGTTCTCCTGTGATGGACTGGCGACGTGTCAACAGGTTTTAGCTGCATAGGTCTTCTTTTCACTGTCATTGCATAATTTTCTTGTTTAATTTCAACGTACATTGTTTGTCTGGCAAACTGTAAGAAGGTTCAAGGCTATAAAGTAAAGTGAAGTTGCTACAGTTCAGTTTGAAACATAAATAACTGCACTCTAACCTTTGATTCAAACAATCAAATTTAGAACCATGAAAGCTTTATTTCTGCGTGAACAAGTTTGTTTTATTTACAGTTAAGCTCAAGATCAGTCACAAGTCATATATACAGTCTTATATACAGTCTTATACGTCAACATTGACTTGTTTTTCTGTTTATAAAAGCTCAATAATGTACAGTAAGATAAATATGAAGTTCATTGTTGAGGTAATTACAGGTCAGTCTTACTGGTCATAGAAGCCCAATCAGAGCAAAGACTCTGTTGACCAATATAGAGTTAACCAGTCCAACAGCTGTGTATGTTGCAAACTTGGATGGTACTTCTATCTCCTTCCTCCTGGCATTTTTATCCGTTTTCGGAGCACTGTACCAAGAATACAACACGTCCAAACTCAGTTTCTTCACTATCTGCCGAGTTCCCACCAGGGCAACCACTCCCAGCAGGCTGCGTCCAGCCCCTCTCGCCACAGACAGTGCCGTTACGGTGGGTAGAGGGACAGGTAACGGCCCCCGGGGTTCAAAAGCGTCGCCCAGCTGCACATTGGCCCAGTATCCTACTGAGCAACCAGCGCACACGCCGAGAATGGTGGTGGTGTCTCCTCGTGTGGTGCTGTAATGGTCCAGCTCTGGGTATGTGTAGCTTAGGAAGAGCAGCAGTGACAGAGCGATGATGGGGGACAGTGGGCTAGTCAGCTGGAAGCTGTCGAAGGATTCCCAGAAAGGGTAGGTGAGCAGAATCAGGACGGCAGTGATCAAAACGCCACAAACCACATCCTGAAAGCACAGCAATGGCAGGATTTAGTCAGCATGTTAGATGACGTAGTGTCATTAGGTTCGATTCTTAACTAAAATCCAACAATTCTACAAATCTGAGATGTATGAGACTGTTATAATTTGTGGCTATAGGCATAATTGTTGTCCAAATCAAAGGTTTTGCATCGATGCCACCTCCTGACATTCATTAGTTGGCAGCTGAGTTACATTTTTTGTAAAGACAAGACAGAGTAGATTTAAAAGTGCATCATTAATGATCCAGGCTTTTGTGATAAAGCAAATGATGGTTGTAGTTTTTCAATGGCAGCGGAGGAAGTGAACGAAACTGTTCAGCTGGACCGGCTTCCAAATATTGCATAGATTTTGTTGACTTATATTTGTCGTTTTTGAAGATCCTCTATATGAGTATTTCCCTGTGGATTGTTGAGTTTTCTTTTTTGTTGAAAGAAATATGTACCACAAAAAAGCACAACCTAATAAGACCAGTTGGTTGAGGATATTTCTGCTAAATCAGTAGTATAGCTACAAGCCTGCATTTGTTATGTTTATATTTCTATCGCCTATGTGTGTGTGTGTGTGTGTGTGTGTGTGTGTGTGTGTGTGTAGGTGGTGACTGGCTCACCAGAACTGAGTGCATGCCAGTGTAGAGCCGGCTCAGAGACACCAGAGACGAGAGCGTCACAGCGATCAGCAGGCCTGTCTGGAAGCAGAACTGACACAGAAACACACATTTACCACCAAGCATCACTTTGACACAATCACAAGTTAATTCTAAGGAAAAATGACACACTTTCCCCCAGATATTCATGCTTTCATCAAATCTTTGCATATTCACATGTAATTCCTCTCTGCGTCAGCCTGCCTGTCAACAACGCACTGCTCCTTTGTCTTGCTAGTGTTTCTCTCTTCCTGCTCCCTAGACTCCCCTCCGGCCCCCGCACACACTTTTACCTATGGTGGCAGCTTTTATCCCCCATTCCCATTTAAATAACAGTGAGAAGAGAAGCCTCCTGTATTCATCCACCTCAGCGCCTTTTTTAGTCTTTTCCTGTCCTTTGCAGCTGGAAGCCTATTCAGTGGTAGTTCATAAAGAGGGAGGGGTTTTATTTCTGAATGGCCACAAAGGATACCAGGGACAGGAGGGGGTTGGGGGGTTCGGGAGTCAGTCTGTGATTGACTGCCGTGACCTCCGACCTGCTTTGGGAAAAGGCTGAGTTGCCCCGAGGACTTGAGCAGCAGCCTGCTTCTCATCTATATTTGTGCGTGCTCTTCTCTGTCAGGGGATTCCTGGAGGAATTTTAGGGCACAGTTAAACGCTCTACTGTACTTTGGTGTCTCAGTTGTTGGTCCAATTTCTCTGACCCTCTGAGCAGAGATCAAGTGGAAATGATCTGACCACAAATCAGTCTGACAGCTCCAGAGCCCGCTTAAAACCTCCCGGCTGAGGCGATTTCTCGTTCGTCCTGGTCTTCACCACAATACAGAGCTTGATTAAGACAGCTAATAATTGGCTCCTTGAGTGTTTTATTGACTTGGCAGTAGAGATGGAGAGATAAAAAGAGGAAGAGTGAAGAGGAGGGAGGCGGAGAAGTGGTCTGACAGTCATTGACTCATTGCAGTCTATCAGAGGATGAAGCAGCAGCTCGATGGGTGTGGCTGATATGTGACTGATGGTGACGGCTGCGCCTGCCTTTCACGGCCCATTGTCCAGCAGGCAGGACAGCATGTGATGGACAGCAGGACCACTCCCTTCATTTCAATCTGCTACCCCATGGCTCAAAGTAATGCAAGTCGGGAAGGATGCTGATTTAACACTATTCCCTGCCTTTTTGATTATAGAAGGTGATTCATTTGCAGCCAGAATAGTGGTAATGACACAACAAATATTTAAAGTAAGGACCTTTTATGAATTAAGCTGATTTAAATAGTTTGCAACGTTGAAACTAGTTACATTCATTCAACTGCTTTTACTTGAGCAATGTTTTGATTAACTATTGCTGCTCTTACTTGAGTAAAATTTCAGAATATTCCGTCCAACTTCCATGAAGAAAGAACAACTATATTTTAACCAAGAATATAAGAGACAGAGTCACACACTTATCTCTGGTAGGAAATACATTTTTAGGAATTGATGCGAGATCTTCAAAACGAAGTACATGGTGGTGGTGTTATGCTGTGGGCTGTTTTTCTGTCTGTGTAATGCTACATTGTGCATAGTTGATATGATCATAAGGATTGACTTCAAATCCACAGATTAATACATTTAGACAAAATGTGATCGTATTTGTGGACTGGAGGAGCCATTTATCCTCTCCTGTGTTTGTCGCCACCAGGGGGCATATTTTATTTTGAGTTCTGAGTGTCTGACAGGGGACGGGGTTATTTAAGGTCAACCATGACCTCTTCATGGTTGTTAAGGGGAAGAGGCAACAGTTTTCTCCTGTGCTTGGTTTGATGTCGAATTTGTGGTTTTCAATGGAAATAGTAGAAAAATGGACATAGTCCAGACAATAAATTACTTTATTGTAAGTCAAACTAAAGATTGGCATCCTGAATCTTACTTGAGCGCGCGTAAAACCAACGCCTTTCAGGAACAACAATCAGTAGCGTAAAATACAGGATTTAAGCCGCCACATGGACGATGCTTCCACACATTCACCAAAACTTGTCTTATAAATGAAAAAGCCCCAGAATAAATAAATCCCAGCAGGCACAAACTGTGTGGTGCCTGCTTGAGCTCTGAGGAGGATGGATCCTGTGTTTTATGATCTGATTGCTCTTAGGTTTTGATTGCTACTAAATGTGTGCAATCAAAGTGCAGCTTACTGAGAGACTCTTCACTAAATGTTGGTGCGGCGCCTGCAAACATTTCAGCCAGTGTAACTGAAATAGATCCAGAATTAATATAACTTGTGCACCCATTGTTTTTTTGTTTTACAACACTTTGAACACATGTAGTTTTGAACTGGGTTTCAAAACAACAATTCAAATAGGTTCTTAAAAGCCCAAAATGAAAGATTAATTTACACGATGAGAGTATGGGAACTTCTCAAAGGAGCTGTGAAAGACTCTAATGGAGGCTGATAAAGCCATTCTGAATTGTGTGGTTTTAGAAACACTTTAACTCTCTGCTTTCTATTAACAGTGACATAGAGAAGATGCTCCTAATTTGGACTTCTTAGTCATAAAGACTCATCCAAAGTCAATTATGTGCATTCCAATTCAGTCACAGTAATTAAACAGTTCAATCAAGTTAAGTTTAGCAGGTCTAGTGGTGAAACGTTTTCTAAGAAAACCCAGCCAACATCATAGAGTCACTGAGCCATCCTCCTCCTGAATCAATGTGGAGACGGTGCAATGGACTTCTTCAAAGCGTTTGTCTCCAGGTGTTTGTCACCCCTTTACCACAACGGCACGCCTTGTGAACTGCTTCCTTTCTTACTTCAAAATAAGAGCCTATTTCAGCTGAAAAAGTCACCTGCAGACTGCAGGTGGATAGCACTCTGAAACAGACTCCACTTTGACAACAGATGTTGGATAGGATTTGCGACTTTGAAAGTGAGTTTGATCATATTTTATAATGAAGTCTTTCTGACAACGTTAAAATGAATTAGTTTGTATTTCAAAGAAAAGTAAAATCAACTATAAAAAGACATAAATTGCTTTTATCGGTCGCACTCTGATACATATCCACTATATTTGTTTTCCAGTTAACCTGTGGAAGTACTAGTCCATGATGTTTCACTGCAAACAAACATGTACGCTTACCTGTACTCTGGAGGGAGCGCTCAGTAAAAGTGTGAAGGAGATGGCAGTGGCGGCCATGGCGTGGGTGGACGGCAGTCCGTACTCCGCGTCCACGCGTGTCTCAAGCTTGACCACAGGCGGTGAGGGCGGGCGAGGAAGCTTCAGCAGGTCCTTCATCAACTGGCCAACGTACATCACCAACTGGAGCAGAGATGAATAGATATTTTTAGTGTTTTTATTAATGCTTAATGGCAGCAGTTCATGTACTGAGGTACAAACCATCCTAATGAGCCAGTTATAAGATAACACAAACAGCTTCAAAAAAACATGACATGCTTTATTCTTTTATGCTTAATTTTTTAATCTTTCTAATCATTTTGGCAATATAAAGTCAAAAAAAATACATTTTAATTGTTCTTTAAAATGTAAAAAACTAACAAACAGAAAAGCCTTCAAGTGGAGAATAAATTGGGTCAAACTTTTTCTCCCACTTACAATGACTAAAATCAGACACATCATGTATCACATCAGTTCCTTATGAGTATTTTTGCTTTTCTACTCTTCACTGATTATCTCCTGTGAGGATAGCAGGGTGATATCGGCTGGCTGATAGTCTGAGCTCTCTGCTTGTTTTGCGTCTGTAGTTCTCTGTGCTCTCTTTGCTTCCTGCCATGACTTCTTATGTGGTTTGAAAATTTAAATATTTCCAAAAACAAACTGTCTGCCTCATATACAAGAGAAGAAAAAGCCTTTATTTATCCAGCTGACCAGCAGTGCAGAAGGGGCACTGCTTTGTTCCTCTATGATCCATATTATGATGGAAAAACTTAGGTAATGTGAAGCCCTATTTTTTTCAAAAACCTTGGTATATTCTGATACTTGTTACCAACCACTAACTTGCACATTTCAGTTACTTATACCTCCATATTTCTCTTACAATTAACCTTTCTGGCTAGTGACCAGAAAGGAGTAAAATGAAACAAAGAAACACACAAATGAAGGAAGAACGATTTTTGAAAAAGTAAAAATCCTGATGACCATTTGCTTTGAAACTAACCTCCAGTTCTCATAAATATCTAATCAGCATCCCAACTCAAGGATCAAGCTGCACAAAAGTGCAGATCCCACACAGTATAAAGTGACAATGCTGCAAATGTGCAGTAACTAAATCTATTATAAGAAACAGAGTTGAAGACAGCAGACTTTGCTGATGCACTGTTTTCAGCATCTTTAGGTGAGACTTTGCTATTCATCTGACAAAAGACCAGAGCAAGGTGAATTCACACGTGGGTGGGTGTGGGTGTACGTCTCTGCATCTGCGCCCAGCCAAATATGCTGCATATTCTCTTTCATGAGAATATGCGACGGGATAGGCAGGCCCGCTCCGGCTCCAGGTTTATTTAAAGCCAGGCCTTGTATATTTAATGAATGGCTGTCTTAGTGAGGAGCAGGAAGGCAGTGAGTACAGAGGGAGCAGGACAGTAATGTATGTGTTTAAGGAGAAGAACAGAGAGGTTGTTATTACAATCCCATTTGATACAGCAATCAGTGAGATTTTGTTACCATGGCAAAGGAGACATTAAAGTACCTCGACTGATCCATTGTTTCTGCTCATGTGGAGACACAGTGAGCTTTTTAGGACTTGAGGCAGACACTGAACAGGAGGAAAGCAGGCTGCAGAGATTCATTCTGTTTTAGCCACAAGGGCAATATTGAGGGTAAGCGATGATGATACGAAACAAAACCTGAAAAATAGCTTGACTCCTCACATAAATACTAGATGGGACTGCAGCCAGATTTTTTTTGTTTTGTTTTCACAAACCAATCTACTTCTTTTATAACTATAAAAATCTTATCATGCAGGGTCAGTGCTAGAAATTGAAGTCAGAAGAGGGGGTAACATTTTGACCATTGGAGTTTACAGTTATGACATAGCCAAAGTCAGCTAAAAAATAAATTATCACAAAACCTAACAATGGAAAATCAGAGCCTGAGTTTTACAGTTTCCATAAACTGGAAAACAAAATTGCCTGTGTTGGACCTTATGAAGAGAAGTTTCAGGAAGGAAACTCATGTCATGGGCAGCATAAAGTGCTTTGGAGTCCTCTGACTTAATAATGTGCTACCTTATTAAGCAGATAACAAATGCAGGATGATTTACCATTCACCATGTAAAATGACTCAGATTAAAGCCCATTCCTGGTACCTTAATGCTTTGCAACATTTTATTTTGATGTGTCATGTGAAATATTAATAAAACACAAATCTCTTTGTGGCAAAATGTGAACAAAAGTAAAAATATTTCTGAGACTAAGTGTCTTCTCCATTTGTTTTTAAGTATATGCTTTTCCGCTCTCCTTCTAGTCTGTTACTGTGTAGTGGTGTGTGTAATTATATATATGTAAAGCAGTGTGTGGCAACAATACAGATTCTGGCGGCCAAAATGACTTCACCCTCAAATTTGATGGTGACAGCTGTTGTTACAACACCAATCTAAACTTATGACACTATAGCTAACTCCTACAAATCTTATACGGAACGACAATGACCATAAATTTGCAGTAAAATCACAACACTGACAATCTAACTGTAACTAAAGGGGAAAAAACAATGTTGCACTTTTATTCACTGCAGCCTTGTTATGTACAGATGCTGTTTTCCATTTTATGTTGCCCTTGGGTCATTTCTGAATATAAAATGTGCTATTACCATATTCATCTGGACTTTACATGCACAACTCCTAACAGAAAACAGACAATAAACAAGGGACAGACAATGGCAAGCTCATTCAGTACACACGCTGTATTCATACAGTAATCCATACGACAGTGTGTCTCTGTCCTCACACACTGAATCTGTCGTCCAGCTCGAGTAAGAGCATGATGCGACACCCTTATCTTCTACACAGACATCACATTGAGCTGCCTCATTGATGGCTCTGTGACATTCACATCAAAAGGCCTGACCCCACAGACACACTCCGCACATTAAGGGAAGAGTTAAAGATTGTCTGACTTTGTGAATAAGTATATTGATCGAGCCGAGAGCAGATTCAGACTTTGATCTTTCCACGTTTGGGTAGGACTGTCGGGTGTGAGCATTTTGAGACGGTGGGCTGGTGCACAGGTTGTTGTCTGTAAGGCCGGAGACACGCTATGTGTGATGAGTATCTTTTTCTTCCACAGTGTCATGACTACAGTTTTTTTCAGCTGTTTTTGTGTATTTCTGCAATACTCCTCAACATCTGTAAAACAATAAGTGCCTTTCTTTTAACAACTGATACAAAAAGCAAAACACTATGGGTTACTCCAGAAAACACGCTTTCTTTCTCAAAGTTCTGAGTTTGTCTCTTAAAAGTCCGACCAAGTCATTGTGATATAGAAAGAAAAAGACAGCACTGCAAAGCAAAAAAAAAAAAAAAACATAAAAGTAGAAATAGGAGCATAAAACAATCTGCTTAAGAAAAATTTGACATGGAGTGCTAAAGGAAATACGGTGACGTTTTCCGACATTTTCGGACCGTTATGGTAAAACCAAAGTTATTCTAGCAAGTTTATTGTAACTTGTGTTTTACCGTAACATCTGACCGTTGTGGCTTTTTATTTTTGTTGGCCCTTCTGGGCCACTGTATAAAAAAAATACACTATCTATAAATCATATTTATATAACCCCTCAGATTTGCTTAGAACTGTTTTTATTTTTTAAATACACCAGAATCCTGGATTAGTGCTTGCTTTTATTAATATATTTGGCTTCTAGTGTTACTACCTGCAAGCATATGTTGAAATATTCTCTCTGGCAGAATATTTGCATAATATCCAATGTACTATGCTAAAGTTTTGCAAAACTATCATGCAATTCCTGACCATATAGTTTCGCATGACTACTGTTTTCTAAGTCAATCAAAGTCGATCTGCGATGAAAACCAAGAAAGAACATTAAAGGACAGTAGTGAAGCATGTGTGTGTTTATGTCTGTAGCTCAGCTTTATCCTTAGATAACTCCAACATCACAATGGCAAGGCGCTGTAGCGAGTGAGAGGTGCAGGGTGATGAGCCCCCAGGGCAGACAGACCAAATGGCTGGTTCAGAGAGAGAAAGCTCAAACGCTGATGAGGCCAATAAAACACTCTACAGAGTGAGGCTGGTAATGCCTAACTCGAGGGAGGGCAATGAGTGTGTTTAGCAGGCGACAGAGAGATTGCAAGTATGTGTGTGTTGGAGTTTATGTGTGTGTTTGAAATGGAGTTCACACGGGGCCGTGGCGCACCAGAAGAATAGTCTCTCTTCTTCCTGGGGGGCCAAACAAGGGGTTCAGATACAGGGCACCCACCGAGCGCTTGAGGCAGGGACATGAAGGGCACAAAAACACGCTGCCCATCACACACTCTGAGGGAGTGAGGCGGTATGACTGCCTGTGTGTCATGAAGGTTTCATTTGACATGTTTCCTGTCATACAGGGCAGGACACTGTCTCAATAAACATCTAAAAGAGGGAGGCAAGCTGTCTTTTGGCGCTGAGATGTCCTCTTATGTGTCGTCTTGCTATGTCAGGGGCCGTAGACTAGCTAGCCCTTGTGTCCCTGCCTGTTGGCCTGAGGATATAATGGCCTTGGTGGTGTCAGAGACAGGTCACTGGAAGGAGGTCAAACGATGAAAGGAGGTTGAAAGGTGAAGAGAAGGAGACAGAGCAACATGACAAGAAAGGCGGTATTGTGAAGGAGGAGAACATCATCCTGACAGTTTGTGTTTGTGCCTGCTAAGGTTATCTCACAGATATACACGGCCAGAGGTGATCTCTCTTTGGCTGAAACTTACGGTCCACATGTTGACAAGGCGGCGGCAGAGGAACGGGTCCAGATTCCAGTGTATGCAGGGCAGGCAGGTGATGTAAAACACTTCATGACCTAGACCAGCTGAGAACAGGAAGAGGAAGTGGAGCAGCCAGTTTCTTACCTCATACTGAGGCTTTTTGCAGTCCTACACAGAGGAAACATTATTATTATTTAATCTGGCTGCCAATGTCTACTATGTTGATGTGTTTGTTAAAGAAAAGCAAACACTTACTAGATTTATCAAACAAAACTAGCCCTCAATAGTTGCAATACTGTGACATGATCTGACTCCAAGAAAAGTTGCCTACTAAAAATGGTTTTTTTCCTGTATGTAATTCTTACACAACTTCAATCTGACTGCGCACTGCCAGTCAGCTCGTTGAAAGACACATGCCACACTTTTCTCTCAAAAGAAAGACACTTTTGGGCATTAAGGAATATTTCTGTATTGAAAATAAAAGACCATCATCAGCTGTGGTGTCCGAACAGAAAAGTCACCTGTTATAACACTTTTACGAGTATGGCAGAGAAGATATGTCATTTTGATTGGGTCTATGTAGCCCAATCAAAATCACATTGTATGCAAGTTTTACACACCATTATATACCAGTGAAGTCAACAATGTCCTTTAAACTTAGCCACATAAAAAATATATTCTTTTAAATTGCAGTGTTAATACAGTGATTTTGTAAAACTGCAATATGTGTTACACCAGGAGAAACTCAAACGTGGCCCTGCCTGCACAGACCGACATAAAACATAATAGAACTCTGCAGCTAAAGCCAGCAGAGGAATCATTGGAATAAGATTAGATCCATTAATCCAATTTTGCAACCGGCCCACTGTCTGGTGGCTACACCCTTTTCCTTTATCCTCATTTTGTACACACACCACAAAAATGAATTTACCACAGTGTTTAATTCAACAATTCATTCAAATGATTTCAATTTCTATCACATTAATGTTTATAACAGAGTATCAATTTCAAAAGATATATACAACAATCATAAAATTTGTGTTTTCTTATTTCCATTCAGTTCATCTGAACATTATTGGAACTATAATCGGTGTTATTTTAGTAAGCAGAGTTTTAAAATCTCATTAACTCATCCTACTTAAGTGTCTACTCAGAAAATCCCCAGAAAATCTGCCCAAGTAAAATCTATACACCTAATACATGAGTTCTATTGATTCAATTCTAAAAGTTTGTTTAATATAGCTAATATAGACCATTTAGCCTTTTATATGAAAGTAAAAAAGCATAAACATCCTGTACACGACTTGTCTTGCTGCGCAGGAAGAGCAGACCTGACAGACAAGAAAAGCCAGTCAAACTTTGGATCTGACGCTTTGATTAAGCATGTGCTCTCCAGTTGGTTTATCCTTTTTTTTATTCTAATGTATCTGATGCAGGATCTACGTGTAAACCAACTCCAGCTCTCTTCTTGTTCTAAACATATTAGCAGGGATATCTAGAGACCTTGTATTCATAGTTTGAGTTGCTGTCCTGCCGGTCCCTGCTTCCCTCCAGCTGCCCTCCTGGTTTCTCCCGCCTGATCGGGGCTCCGTTCGCAGATCGGCTCCCTCCGGGGCCTGGATGGGACCCTTCGACCAAGTACAGCCCGCATCTTCTCTGGAACCGGGCCACAAGCTCCGGATCCTGGAGGTAGGCCATCAGTTCCTGCATGTCGGGTGAGCAGGCCGACGGAGCAGGAAGTGTCGGTGAGCGATGCGGCTGATCTGCCTTCCGTAGAAGAAATCACGGAGAATGAGAGCGAACATCCCGGCAAGGTGCGGCTGCTGTGTCACAGGTGAGCTCAGCGGGGGCGGGGCTACAACAGGGATCAACCAGTAGCTGTGAGTCTGTGGTGGCGATTCTGTGACCTTTATACCAGACATAGCAAGTGGAAAGTATTTATAGCCTAATATTGCTGCAAGGATTCGTGAGGATTCGTAAACATACGTCAATGACTGATAGAGAGAAAGAGACAGAGGAGCTTGGGGAAGGAATTACCTGCAGATTAGTTTATGTTTCTACCAGCGTTGCACAATAAATTTGATCAAATTTGCTTTGCAAAAAAAAAAAAAAAAAAAAAAAAAAGGAAGCTCAATCAGACTACAAAGAGAGTGGCTGTAAGTTACAAGTTTTGCTGCAAATTCGTAATTGGATTTAGGTCTGAACTTTGACTATTCCATTCTAAGACATGATGATGCTTCACTCTTAAGCTATCCCATTGCAGCCGTGATTGTTTGTTTTCGGTTGTAATGCAGGAATGTGTTCTATCAACCCAGCCTTTGTTTTTTTGCAAACCTCTATAATGATTGCTTTGTATTTTATTTCCCATCCATCCATAACCACTGCATGCCTTCATACCACACTTCCAGAAAAGGAAAGATTTATTGCATGCATAACTCACAGTTGTCCTTAGGACAGATGCAGTGGGTCTGCGCAACACTTCCAACGTCACCATGTGCCTCTCAGCCTTCTCCAATAAATACAAACCCATCCAAAAATCAAAGCATCAAAAAACAGATCCACCAGAACAGGTCTGTAGTTTAGGCTGTTACACAACTGAAGTACTGTCAGGATTAAATGTTACTCTTTTTAAAGTTTTTTTTTTTTGCTTTTTATGCATGTGCTATCACAACAGCATGCTGCATATACTAAAGGAAATTATTTTTATTTCATTAATTATTTCATTTTTTTAAACTATCAGCAACAGAACTACTCTAACCCTTTTCTGGCTTTATATTAGCAAAGAACTTTAACCTCAGAGTGTGAAGCCTCATATCAGACACAAAAAACTATTTATAACCCTTCTTCTCTGTCCCCAAGAATGGACGTCAGCATGAACAGCTGGGCGTGCACACGCTACGCACAGCTGTTTACCACAACATAAGTTATGACTCGATATTATTTTGGAGGACAGTTTAATCGGATCAGACCACAAACTCAGTTCCTGTAGAACAATAAGCTTCTGTAGCTTCTAAAGTGGCTGCAGTGTTCCTTCGAGTCATCATCCATTTGTCCTTTTGGATTTGCTTGGCTGTATTTCTTCTGTCCCTAAACAGATCAGAATTCATCTGAGCTGCAGCTGTCCTTTGCTCCAGCATCTGTCAACCCCCAGAGGTGTTGTTGTAAGCCATGGTCCTTTGAAAAAGTGTTTGTACCCTTGCACTTTTTCACACCTTCAGTCTACAACCACAAACTTCTGTGTGTTTTATAGGGATTTTATGAGACAGACTAATTAAAGGGGAGATAATGAAGTACAGAAAAAATGATCATCTATTTTCTTTTTTTTTTTGTAAAATGTAAATCTGAAAAATGGTACACATTTATTCAAACCCTTTCAGTCTGATACCTTCAAATAAAACCTAGTTTACCGAGTCGCTAATGTTTACCAGTGACCTGAAGCCCCAGCTTGACCGTGAAAGAAGCTAAGATATAAAGCTTATTGCAAATTGCAGTAAAATGCATACAAATTCACACCACACTTTTCAGATGTTCACTGCAAGAAAAAAATACTTTGAAAATAATGCATACATATCCGTGTACTTCTCAATAATGTGCTTCTTGCCTGTCATAAAATTCCTTTGAAATATTTTAGAAATTTCTGTACTGGGACAAAATATGAAAACATTAAAGGGGTTTCTTTGCCATGTAAGGCATATAATATTTAGGCTTCATGGCTTTAAAGACTGGGATGTTTACATATTCAGTCATATGAATTATTCGAACGCAATAAACAATTTGATTAATCGTTTTCAGTTGGTGTTCAACACAGTAAACAGAGGCACGCTGACAGTCAAAGGTCAGAGAAAGTGAGAAGGTCTCGGAGAAACAGCTGGCCGGAGCTGACGTTCTGCTGCCATATACAGTCGGGTGAGTTTTGACGCTCTTTGTTCCAGGAAACAATGAAGTGGCTCCCACCTCCCACCCCCAAATGAGCGCATCCCACTGTACGCAGCGTCTACGTAATCTGGCTGCTGGAGCTCTGAGAACAACAACACGCTCTCGAGACTGAGAGATGCTGCTGGGACCCAGTGGATGATGCGCCCCGCGCTCCGCAGGAGTCACCGCCATTACATCATCGTCCCCCGCTCGAGAGCCGTTTGATCAGCGCCTCTCACTGGGATCCCGGCCGTTTGGATCGAGCAGCGGGGATTAATGAAACGCGCAACGATGGCGTTTCAATGAGAGCAGTGGAGGGGAGGGGGAGAGCAGGAGAGACGTGCACCGTCATCAGCATCTGTCCGCCAGCTCCCTTTGTTTTCACCGGAGAACGTGAATGGCGAGAGATGACATGGCAGAGGTAGACTTGCCGTCAAACGGAGCGGAGCCCCCCGGTGAGGCCTCCCCGGCGTTCCCCTATGAGGAGTACGAATGTAAAATCTGTTACAATTACTTCGACCTTGACCGGCGGGCTCCGAAGATCTTGGAGTGTTTGCACACGTTCTGCGAGGAGTGCCTGAACACGCTTCACCTCCGGGAGGAGCGGCCATGGCGCATCAGCTGCCCGGTGTGTCGCCACCGGACGCCCGTCCCGGACTACCGGATCCAGAACCTGCCCAACAACACCAAGGTGACGGAGGATTTCCCGCTCTACATCGACTCGGACCCCTTGCCGCAGGACGCTCTGCCGCCGTACCCTCCGCCTCTGCACCCGGCTCTGGTCGCCCTCCGCCGTGAGGAGGCGTCGGGCGCGTCCGGCGCCAGCCAGGCGACCCCTTCCACCACAGTGTCCACGGCCACTACCCTCTCTCAGGACTCGGTGCGCTACGACAGCTGTCAGAGCTGCAAGAGGGTGGCGTTGACCACCGGCTGCGTGTGCGTGATTTTCTCGTTCCTGTCCATGCTGGTGCTGCTGTTCATGGGCCTGATTTTTGTGCACAGCCACAGCATCCCCCCTTCTCCGGCCGGACCCATCTGCTTGTCTGTCGCCAGTATCCTGGCCATGTTCTCGGTGGTCGTTACGTGGCTTATCTGCTGGCTCAAATACAGACCTGACCACGAGACAGGCCGCGCGTCAGCTACCAGTAACTCCAGGAGGAACGCCTGATTGGCTGCTGGCTCTGATGTACCAGGGCTGTGTGTGTGGGTGTGTGTGTGTGTTTGTGAGACCATGTACATAGGAACCTCCTGGCAACTGATTTGTCTTCTTGCTCCCTTTACTTTTTATTTTTAGGGGAAATGGCCTTTTATCAGTATAGCAAACACCTAAAGGCCTTCATGTTGTTTGGAGCAATATAGGCCAACTTGATCCTTGATAATCTTTTTCCTAAACTTATGCACTGGACTTTGAGGTGGTCGCTGACTGGACGTGTTGCTGCGTGAACTTCTTGCTTTGATTAGATTTTTGGGGTGTATTTGGTTTGATAAAGAAACATGATGTACTTAGCTTTGGGTTTGGTACCCTGCCCTTCACTGTCTAGCTATATAATATGCATTTACCCCCACTGTGCCACTCACTGTATGATAACTGTCCACAGTGATTCAATCACATCTCAGAAACACCCACCAGTGTTATTGTACAGATATGCTCACTTTTGGGGTTTTGGTTGAAAGGGTTTGGTTTTGATGGATGCTTACTGTGTGTTTATGTGGTGAATCTTTAAATCGGATCCCAGCTAAGCTGCATCCACAATGGAATCATGTAAATAGGTCAGAGGTATGGACAACTGCTGCAAGGATGTTTGGCGTGATCAGCCTTTTTTTAGAGACCTTCCTTTGTGCTTTACCTTTATCTTGCAGGATGGTACTGTTTTTACTGCCCACTTCTTCCAAGCAAAGGAATACGAAGAGACAACTTGTGATTTTGAACTCGTGTTTTGCTACTTTAGTGCATGTGAGGTCATTCTATTCGTTTCTTTACTTTATGATGAAAGAGACAGGTTGTCTCCTGACTTTTGTGCCTCACCGTGTTTCTAAATGAAGGTAAACTTCACTGCTATCCGAATCAGACAGCGTCGAAGCTCTGGTGTAAATGGGGATTCCCTCATCTGCTCTCATCTGTTACTCACACTCTGGAAGTTAAAGACAGGGTTTTCCGACGTATAGCACCTTTTTGTATGTTAGAATAATGTAAAAGCTTTTGCATGTTGATTCCGAGGAGAGAAATGTTGGGCAGGTGCAGTCCAGATTCCCACTTCAGCTGCTTCCAAGTTCACCTCTCTTCTTTTTCTCCAAAGCCATAATTAAGAATTGTGTCACCTTTACAGGTGCAGTGAGCCATTTTTGAATTGGTTCATTTCCCATTAGGCCTGGAAACCAATTAGCTATACTCAAACAACAGACTGTCAGAATACAACTGATAACTTTTAGTTCAACGGGCTTAATTTTTGTGGTTACAAAAATACTCTTCAATTTGTTAAATTACGTCTTTAAATGTTAGAATGAATTTCTTTGAATTTGTCTGAAAACAAAGAGATTTGCCAACCTGACCCTCATGTCTGTGCTAGCTAGAAGATTTTTTTCTATCTCCAAATTATCAAACAAAAATCAATTTTTGAAATACTTTTATTGAACTGTATTAGCAAAATTTTAACTGATAATTAAGCTAATCTTGTTTAACTGGCAGGTCCTCCTTTCCCTTGACCACCCCAGCAAAGACCAGGCTTTTGTTGACAGTGCCTGCCTCAAGGTTAGAAAGCTCAGCTTACAAGTTGGACTTTATCATCAGCATAATCATAGTAGCTAAGATAAAAAAAAAGCTCTTAACTTTTAAAAAATTGATGGTTTGTGTTCTAAATATTTATCCATAACACGGATCATATTATCATAGTAGCCACTTTGTTCTGTATTAAGGGAGCCTAATCACCTACACTGTTAACATTGAAATTAATTGAACAATTTGTAAACAATTTGGGTAATAGAGTATTTCTGAGTAGAAATCATGTAAGTTCTACTGCTAAAAAACAACAACTTCCAAACATGTTCTAAAATTTGATTAGTTGTAACTGATTGCTTAGATTGTTTTGCTCTTCTGGTTTGTCCACTTTGCTAACAAGGAAGCACACATAACAATACTTTTTTCTATTAAGGCATAAAATGGTAATAAACATTTTGAATCTGTTCTTGTGATATATATAAATCTAAATGAATATTTCTGAGTAGACGTCACGTAGACTGAAAATGTAGTCGATTCATTAAATGAGTTGCATTCTAACCAGTTACATCGTTTCACTCCCCTTTTTTGTTCTCCAGTTTTAAAAAGAAGCTTACAAATAAATTGAGTTATGGAATGGAAATCGGACTTATTTTAGCAAGACGTTCAGAGACGCTTTACATGAAATCAGTCATTTCCATTCACACACGTTCACATTAATATAATTTTAACACATCAATATAAGATTGAGGCATGAAATGTTATTGAAGTAGTGATACATTTTAAATGTATTCAAACACTTGAATAGGCTACATTGTAAACGCTGTGGTTTTCACTTACAACCACACCTCACTGTCACTCATTGGCAAAGACTGTTTCAAGACTGACTTCATCTTGCTAGCTAACATAGCTTAAGCATTAGCACTGTAGCTGACCTAGTTTAGCTGGATGCAATCTTTAATTCTTGTTCCAACACAAAAACCACCAGTCTCTTTGTAGTTTTTAACATTTAATTGACAACACAATTTGTAACGCCCTTCCAGATAGGTGTCTTCTGGATACTGAACCAGATGAAGAAGAAGAGTTTGCTTAAGCAACATATTTAGTAAAATTAAGTTTAAAATGATTTTGTAGGCTTTGCCACCAAAATAAAGTAGATAATGTTAGCACTTTGCTACTATTGTCCATTACATTTACAAAGGTATTTCCTTCATTAAACTATAACTATATATTATATAAAATGTAATAGGTAATACCTTTCTAAAACATTTTTATTTTGAATGTGGCCGAGTTTAGGTAAATGCAGTAGGATTATGGATGTTGAAAGCTGGTAGGTAACTATACAAACACCCTGCAGATGATGTAATGAAAATATTTCCACCTTAAATGTTTGCATGCTGGAATACACTCCACGGAATTCAACAGAATCAGGATCAGACAGTGTAGTGTGATAGAAGGTGACTAAACTGGAGGGTGTTATTTTTGTGATTGTACAATTCTGATGCTTCATAATCTAAAACAAAATGTCAACATGAACTGTATTAATGTAAAACTGAGAAATTGTGAAGCTAACATGTTTTCCTCTGAGCGGTTCTGCTTGAAAGTATTCCTGGCTGCAGTGGAGGAGGGAAACAGCAAAGCCAGTTTCCCCTGGTTATTGATGGTTATGGAGCTAGAGCCCTGCCAGTCCCATTGCTCCAATCATCCTGCTCGACCTTTCCCCAACAAGTACGATGCACTTTCACCCTCTTATTTTACACAAGTAATGGGGTAAAAACCTTTGACCAATGTAAGCATAATGTATTTATTTCTGAGGACCTAGAAAACGTTGTCAGTTTTTATGAGAGTCTGTGGTTGTCGTTCAAGTTCCAAATGTATTTGCACAGAGAAATGTTCTTTATGTGCTGATTTACATGCATAAACACGTTTCAGTAATAAAGGAAACATGCATACCAGTCCCATTGGTTTCATTTGTCTCTCCGCAGAATGAAAGCAACAGCTGTTAGAGAGGCCTGTTACTTAGGCAGTTTTTTTTCTCTCATCTTAGCTCTTACATAATGTGGTTCACAATGAACTGAGTATGATCCAACTTGACACATTAAGCTCCCTGCTGTGCATCAAATATGCCCCCTACTGGATGACTAAGGATGTTACATGCTAGTGAACAAAAAAAAAAAAAAAAAAAAAAAAAAAAAGTGAAATCTCTTTCTAGTGTCAGGCAACAGGGTGGTTGCATTTTTCATGCAGAGTAAACTTCTGGTGGTTCAAGCTTGATGAAGTGCAAATAGATTTTTTTCAGAGTGAGCTAAATGCTAATTTTCCATTAATATCTCTTAGATTAGTCATACTAGTTCATACAAGGCCTCCCTGTTGGCTGAAATAAAACAAGCTTTTCATGAGCAGGACAGATAAAAGCCTGGGTGGACTACTCAGCAGTTAACTGCGGATGCATTCATGCGTCACATCACGGGCTTAACCGAAAAGTTCCAAAACCGACATGACGCATTTATTAAAGATGCCACATTCATGATATATCAACAGTGTATAAACAAGTTTGTATTTACTGGAAGTGAGGGCTGTTGTATCCAGGTATGTTTACAAGAAAATCATGTGTGATCAGTTTCTCAAACTGTGGTGCAAGTAAGGCTGCCATTTTCGAAATACGCGAAACAAAATGTTGTTGAAGGCGATTAAGAAAATAAATAGCAAACAAATTATTCACTATTTGGACTTGATATTCATTAAAAAAAAAGATGAGTTGTTCAAGCATATCAATCTTTGCTACAAAAAAAAAACCAAATATAAGAGAATGTTTTGGAAGATCTTTGGAGAACTCTCAGAAGAAAACGAAGCAAACTACTGTGAATTTAGAAGAAAAGGAATTTCTTGACAACATGGTCATACTTTGAAAAACATATCAGACGACGATGTAATACTTAAGACACATGGTTTAAAGTATTGCCTTTTTTCCTGTGGAGTCCCCCAAGGTTTTATTCTAAGCCCTGTCATGTTGGACCTCTGACATGTAAAACCATTAACTTTTGATATCCATCCATCCATCCATCCATCCATCCATCCATCCATCCATCCATCCATCCATCCATCCATCCATCCATCCATCCATTCATCCATCCATCCATCCATCCATCCATCCATCCATCCATCCATCCATCCATCCATCCATCCATCCATCCATCCATCCATCCATCCATCCATCCATCCATCCATCCATCATGTTAATTACATGTTTTTATGTATCTAAAAACATAGATAGCTAGCTAGCTAGCTATATATGTTAGCTAGCTAACATAGATACATGAAACATGAAATTAGTTTTTCTGCAGAATAGTCAACAAAACTTTTTTAAAAAATGTATTTAATAAAATTATATAATCACCTCCAGAAGCAAATTAAGTGTGTCCATCTTCAACTACTCTGACACCTCCCACAACTAGTAAGTATATCAACTTTGATACGTTTTAAAAAGCAAATATTTAGTCTCTTCCAACCCAACGTTTTACTTATGTGCTTATTTAACATTGTCTTGTTAATTAGTTTTCTTTTGTCAAAAATAAATTGGACAACAAAGTTGATCTGTTTGGTTGAAACAGCACCTTCTGCAGTCAAAATGAAAGTGGGATGTGAAAAGAATGCTAATTGTTTCTCGTTGCAGTTTTTTATGAAAATGTCCTAATTATCTTCAAATTAAGTTAAAATTAAATTGCATTCTACTTATTTGTCTTGGTCCCAAAATATAAAACTATTTGATAAATTTCTTTTAATAATAATAATAAGATCACATAACCAATCCTGTTTTTTATATATAATGAGGTTCTCATGATCCAAATACTAAAACATGCTGAGAGAGGAAATTAAGCAGATTTGACTGAAGCAGCTAAATAATTTTTTTTCTAGGATTCAGACTGAAAAAAGCATAACATTATAATAATAAGAAGTAGTGAAATTGTTACATTTGTAAAGTGTTAATATGCTCGTTGAACTGAAAGCATGTCAATTCTACTAATATATGAAATAATATATTTACTGACTTACCTACTGTTCACATTCAATTGAATGTAATCCCTTGTTTAGGGATTACAAGTCTCAACATGTAATCCATATGAAATTGAAATTAACTTGTTGCCTCCACTTCTAACTTTGGTTGGCAAAGTATATATGGTAGATGTGAGAGCCTCATGGCTCACAGTGCAACAAATAAACTTGGGATTTATTTAACGCTTTGTCAAAAATCATCATAGTTCTAGATTTGAGTATCTTTTCTATGTTGTTGTTCAATAATTTTTTGTAGGGGCGACATGTACGAGAAACAGCTGACTTGAACATGTTTTAGTGAGTTAATCTAAAGACATTATATTATACGCTGGGTGATTTATAGTTTTTAGACCATTGTGTTGTGCTTTGATATATTACCCATATTCGTTTCTTACTTTTAAAAACGTAAAACGCATTATGGGTAGCATTAACAGGCCAAAAAATTAGAAAAGCACAATTATCGTCCTCTAAGAGAGACAGAGAGAGAGAGAGAAATATTTTTAGGTACATTTTAAGAAGTTACAGTTTTATGACATCCGTTTCCTGTCTTTTTTTTGTGAATTATTATTAGCATGTGTAAAAGAAATTGATTTATTCAATCAGCACTCTTTGAATGTCCTCCTCCGCAGCATGTGATGCAACTCATTTATTTCTCATCAGGAGAGATTTCTGACTTTGAGTTTTCTTCCCCCGGTAATGGATTGGACACGGAGATTCAGTGTCGCTTTTTAAAAGAGCATCAAGCCTCTATCTCTGTTTTCTATTTGCCCCCTTTTGGATGTGCGTGTTTCTGAGTTCGTACAATATCTAGTTTCAGTCAAATCCCTCTCAGATAGCCACATTCGTCAGCCTACACAGTCACGGTTCCCTCTTTTTGTAATATTAAAATCATTTAGAAAATTTCTCTTTGATTTGTTTGATTTATTTATGTATTTTTTGAAAACCATTCTTAACATTTGGCCTTTAAATGTTGCGTTTAATCGTTCGTTCAAAAGGTTAAACAAAAATGTGAAGTTAAAATCAAGTGCACGCGCTGAAACACTCCACCCGTGAAAATAAAACGCGACGAGATTCCCTTCAGCAGATGGAGAGCGCCTGTTTAGTCCTGTTTAGGTTCAACTCGCCTTCCACTATCCGCGCAGGTCTTTGACAGCGAACGCAACGTGTTAAAAGTTGCTCTCCGTCCATGCAGATCCAACAAACCGGGGCTGTGTTGACTGATGGGGGGACTCTACCTCCTCCAGGTAAATGACAGAGTCTCCACAGGTGAGCGGAGAGACTCGGTCAGGTGTTCGGGTTTTGCAGGGACTCACCACACAACGTGCATAAATAACTATGGCTATTCAGGGAAGATTGCCACTGAACAAATCAGCGGATTGCAAAAATTAAAACTTGTCATCAGTTGTTGAAGATATGCTTCGGTGTATAAGATGACATCGCTGAACGGGGTAATAGATGCATTTAATTTATAGTTTTCTACAGGGGGCAGACGTCTCAACACATCAGTGGCATCGTCAAAAGGGCCCCGGGGGGGCCAATAGCCTCAGTCTCAGTGAACGCATGTTTCATTAATTTGGAATAGCCTATTGCTTATTTCATTTATTTTCTTATTTATTTATAATGTAATAACATGCAACTTTTAAAGTCCTGGCTCTGGACTATATATGAATTGTGTGGCTGATGTTACTTTTTTGGTTATAAACTGTATTATGTAGGAACGTCCGAACATGGATTGAATGAAATACAACTGCGGTGCGGGGTAACTGACGGACGGTGAAACAAAATTATGACCAAGTTCCAGACAGCTTTGGACCGGCTCTGTCAAAACAAACAGTTTTCATGAAAGATGTTGGTTAATAAGCTCATTGCTAAGTAAGCTTGAACCTTTATTTCTATTTTTTATTTTTTTTATTGGTGTTCATAAAGCTGCCTTTTTGTGAATTAAAGCAAGCCTTTGTGCCAGTGCAGAGCATGAAACGCACTCCACTGCATCAGTCAGATCCCGCGAAAGATACAGGATGCTGTGACCCGTGACCCCGTCAAAACGCAAGACAACGTCTTTGTTTGTGACGATATTGATTATTAGACATCTTTCGGGGGCAAGGAGTAAGGGCGTAAAAATAAATCCTCCCTTCCAAAGTGGCACTGCGCCAGACAGGCTTTACGGCCGCCCTGGCGTCATACCCTGCTGAGGCGCACGGCCCCCATCAGACTGTTCCTCGCTGGTTGGTGCTGCACTCTGAAGAACCACAATAAATTCCTTGAAGTGCACGCTCTTTGTCGCCATTTGTGTCATATATGTGAGGCCACGGGGAGGAAACAAATTAGAGGTCGCGGGCAATAGCACGCGTAAACACTTCGGAGATGATATTACGCACAGATTGGCGGCATGGCATTCTAATTGACTTTTTTCTCTCTCTCCTTTTTTCGCGTTTATAAATCAGTTCACAAAGCTATGTGGCATTCAATGACTATATATTGCAATTTACGCTCATGTCAATGTATATAAATAGTTTTCAGCGGTAATTGTTGGACTAAATGTTGACCCTGGGACTAAGCCATTCATTTTGTTGGACTTTAAAACGTTGATCTGTTTCAATTTTTAGTTAATTCCACACATGACCCATAAGTGTAGTATCAGGGTTAGAGACAAAATTCACAAAATAAGACACGTATCCTATCATTCTTTGTAAATTAATAAAAAAATAGTTTTCAATGATTATTGCTTTTCACCATAAAGCAATTACATAAAAAAAGATCAATTCACATCTAAACTGAGTAAAAAATTACTCTACGACACTTAAGACACTATTTTACTTATTTAAACAAACATTTAACTGATTTATCATCTCTTGAGCTGTATCATTTCACACACCACAAACCTAATGTCGTTTTTCTAGTATCTCAGTGCCTTGAAAAGTTAACTTTATGTACAGATCTGCGCTCTGTGAATTGTCGCCCCTTTCCTGCCAGCGCAACTACGACTGCGTTTCTGATAGGACAAAAAAGTTTCATGCCTCAGCCAATCCTAGCATTCCCCCTGCGTAACGTTCGTAAGCCTCTCAGCCAATCACAACCGGGAGCGCTGGACAAGCAGGGGAGAACCTCCACTACTTTTGATTGCCCACTCTCACTTCGAACCGGTGTCAACAAACAACAACAACATCCCCGAAATAGAAACGACGCCCTGGTTGCCGTGCTCTTTAAAAACAAAACCCGTTGAGCTGAAAAACACAAGCCCTTGTCAAGTCCCTTAAAACCAAATTTCATCTTTTTGACGTCAGTTTTTGACTCCTCCGGGGGCTGCTGCTGTCCCGGGATACTCCGGTGCTTTGCTGTAGCCCGTTGCTCAGCTAAGCCCTACCGAGGCTAACCGGTGCTAACTTCTCACAAGGACGGAGATTTTTCCATTTACCGACCGACTCCTGCTGCTGTTCGCCACAGGAGAGAACCCTCCCCGGGAAAAGAGGAGGTCGGTGCAGACGGTGGGGGTGGTGGAGGTATGACTGCGTTGGCGGGGTCAGTACCCAGGATGATGCGACCCACGCTGGCTCAGAACTACCCCCGCAGCGGCTTCCCACTGGAAGGTAAAGCACGTCAAAATGTGGATTTGGTGACGTCGGGGAAAAAAAAAACGACTTTGAAAAACTTTCTATTGAAAAGTCAGTCCTGGACTCTGTGCCTAAATGGTTATATAAAGGCTAAAAGAAGGATTTAAGTGAACTAAAACGTGTCGGTTAAGTCGATTCTTTATTTCTTAAATACACTTTTTCAGTTCAGTATAAATGTGGAAACTTCGTGCCTTTCTGTCCACCTTTCACAGTTTGATTTGATGAGGTTTTAGATAAGCTGCGTTTTTACAGACTAATGAAATATCTATTAGCTACTCCTATTCCAAATAAATAGATTTTTGTTAAGAGATTCCGAAGAGCCCGGGCTCTGTCCTGAGAAGTTCCCCCCTCACATTTTTAATATTTAAACCTTACAGTGTCTACCCCGCTGGGTCAAGGCCGAGTCAACCAGCTCGGAGGGGTTTTCATCAACGGCAGACCTCTGCCCAACCACATCCGACACAAGATCGTGGAGATGGCCCACCACGGGATCAGGCCGTGCGTCATCTCCCGACAGCTCCGGGTCTCCCACGGCTGCGTGTCCAAAATCCTGTGCAGGTACCAGGAGACGGGCTCTATCAGACCCGGAGCCATCGGAGGCAGCAAACCCAAGGTGATTTAATTTAGATTTTCTTACATCCAGTCCATCAAAGTAAAACCTATGCATGCACTTACTTGTTGATGCGTCATCGTGACCTGTTGATTTTGTAAGACGGCTTACTTGTTTGGTCAGTAAATGAAAGAACTCTTGTGTTTAAAGCAGGGAACAACGCCGGACGTCGAGAGGAGAATAGAGGAATACAAGCGGGAAAACCCGGGTATGTTTAGCTGGGAGATTCGGGATAAATTACTGAAGGATGGGATATGTGACCGCAACAACGTCCCTTCAGGTAAAAAGGGAAAAAGGAGAAGAATTTCACGTAATTTTTGGCAGAATTTTAAAAGTTATGCAGCCTATTTATTTATTTTTTCATAATTTAATCACTTGTTTTTATTTTGCTTTTTTGTTTTTTTAATCTGTTTCAAAAATAATAATACAAATAAAACGGTAAAATACTGAAATGATCGTTTTTTGCATAAATATATTCCAGTTTTAGATCATTTTTCATCAGTGTAAATCCAATTGTCAGCACAATTCTTAGCTTTTGCATACATTTTCACATGATCTTCATTTTCATGGTGACACCATCAATTTGTTTGAACCCTCCACTTTTGCAGTGAGCTCCATCAGTCGCATCATGAGGACTAAGTTTGGGGGGAAAGGCGAGGAAGAAGAAGAGGAAGACGAGTTGGAGAAGAAGGAGCTGGAGGACAGTGAACGGAGAGCCAAACACAGCATTGAAGGCATCTTGGGAGACAGATGTGAGTTTACTTCTTGAGTTTATATTTCGGCTTGGCGAAATGTTCACATTCATTTTGCAATTGAATTATTGGAGAGGCTTCTGTGAAAAATTCACCACTTTAAGCAAAACAGCTTGAAGAAGAATATTTGACTTGTAAAAGCTGTGGCTTAAAGTTGCTGGATGTTGGTAAAGAGTATGGGTCAACCTTTGTGAGGAATTCTTTATCGACCATTTCTTTCCACTAATGCTTTTCCCATGAGGCCCTATACCGTAAATCAAACAGCAGGCGATGGCTCTGTGCGGGAAGGAGAAGAATGCATGTGTGTGATTGTCTGTGTGAGTGTGTGGAGCAGTGGTTTAAAAGCAGTAAATGAATGGCCTTTACAGTAAGTCCGTATAACCTTTCAGCATATATTCTGTAATGCTCTAGTGTGGCATTATAAACCCATCAACCATTTAATTTCTTCATTCATTATTAAAACTAATCACACTGCTCTTGATTGCTGTGCTGATATAGTTTGAACTCCATATTAAAGACCAGATCAATTTTTATTAGGGCTGCAAACTGCTTCAAGCAGTGGAAAAGGTCTTAAAGGCAGGACACAGGCAGAATCTGTGCTAAAGCATTAGCACAGATTTTCATGAAAGAAAATCTGTGCTAATGCTTTAGTGACTCTAAGTAGTAAGTTTTCATGAGGAGTAAAAAATTAATGAGTGAAATGCCAGGTAAATTGCAGATTGAACCTTTTGCTGAATACTTTTATAGATATTTCCAGATTTGTGGGATATTTTGACGTTTTGCACTCATTTCGTCAAACTTTGCTACATAAGGGCAAATTATATTGTTTTTGAATGTCATCACGTTGTTTTTTTTATGCTTGGTTTGCACCACTTGAGTGGAAATTTGCGTTGCATGGCGGCATTCTGTAATTTCATATTATGTTCCACAAACATATCTTTTAACATGTAGACCTTTCTGTGACTGACAGAGGGAAAAACTGTTAGGGTAATGAGTCTGTCAGAGTTTGCTAGCTTAAAATAATTTAATTTGGTTTATATCCAGGTGGGAGGTGGGGGGAATCAGCTCTGTGAAATTTAAGCAAGATTATGACACTATTTAAATATTAGTTTGTAAATGTTTTGTTAAGTAATGATTTAGCTTTCACCGGTATTAACTTCTTTATTTTGATAACAGGTCCTACTTAAATATTTTGAATTTCACTCAAGTTAAATATAATTTTTCAAATGATGTGTATAGAACAGTAAGGCTTTTATATTTCTGTGAATATGTCAGTTTAGAAAGCCGCAGTGCTAAAACTTGCTATCAGGTTTAAAGTATACATTTTAGAATACGTTTAAATAGTTTATCACTATTTCACTGACAGTTTTGCATCTTGGTGAAATTGTCAATGATATGTGATGGTTTCACATCCAGTATTAATTCTGTTTTCAACAAGATAAATGAAAACAATTGCCTTGATAGAATTTGTCAAACTTTTACTAGTTTCTGGTAAGAGTCACATTTCCTCTTTTTTCCATTCTGAAATATTGATGTACTTCATTCTCAAATAAGACACATGCAAATTTCCCACAGTTTTGTTAAACTGCAACCCTGGTTTATTTATTGTATGGCTAGCAGCTTAGAAAACAAACTTTTAAGCCATTGCTTAATAAGCTTTTAACCCATTGTAGATTCCCCTGTCAGCAACAAAGTGAAGACTATATTGTTCCCAAAATATTGATCTGTTGGTCAAATATGGTTAAGGCGCCAAATGTCAGCGTTTGCTGCCACTTGCTCCTGCGTCAGTAGGGGAGGAGAGATAAAAGTCCCTGGATCGAAGAGACAAAATGTCCCCCAGATGAGTTGATCAAACATTTGTTCAACGGTCTCCATCTCCTCACAAAGACACGCCTCGCGCGCACAACGGGACGCTCGCGGATGAACTTGAGAGACAAAGGCTCGCGAGTCCATTTGAGGCTCACGCTTGGGCTGCGCGCGGACAAAAGGCCAGCTTGGAAACAGCTTTGGCCGCCGCTAAAGTAGAAGAAGAAGAAGGCGACCTGCTTAAAATTCAGCTGAGGAATAGAAAGGAAAAGGAGAGTTTCACAGAAAAAGGGAGAAAAAAAAAACAGACGCAAGACATTATGAAGCCGCAATGAAGGATGAATTATTCAGGAAGCGCTCCGGCTGCCCCGGCACGGCTCGGAGGGCCCGTTCACCGGCTATTTTCATCTACAAAATGTTTTCTTTTAGGGTTCGCCTTAAGAAGCCCGCTCCATTCAGTCAGGCAATTCAGTCTTGTGAAAGCCACCTACAGCCGGAGGATGCGCGCTCACCCCCTAAAACAGTGGCGCGCATGAAAATCCCAGCTGGTGAAATTAGCCACAAAGCTTTAACAAGAAGAAGGTCTGTTTCTCTGAACACGAACTTATTTAGAGTGTATAGGCTATAATTCATTGTGAGACACAAATAAAATTTGATAAAATAAAGTCATGACACTGCAGAAGCAAAAAGACAATATTGGCCTAATAACGTGGCCTTTAATAAACACTATAATTGCACAGTTAGCCATTCTCAAACTAGAACTGGTCCACAAAACAAAGAGAACTTCTCCAGCCTGATGTAACTCGTGAGCTATCATTGATCCTTTGACGATGCCCTGGCCTTGGCCTCTCAAACATTAATAATGTCCTCTAAATGATGTCGATATTGTGCCATGTCTCGTTTTAATGACCGAGGGGGGGGGGGGGGGGGCATTACCGAGTGTTTCGGTGAATAGGGAGCAATGTTCTCCCGGGGAGAACCCCCAGTCTGGCCCGTAGCACAGCTTGACAATGGGGGCCCCGGGCAGCCCGTCCTCTGCGCTGCATGCGCACAGCTCCGAAAACTCAGCCGCTTGCCCTCCCCTCTCCTCCGAGCCGCTTCTTTCCCCCTTCTACCCCCACTTGCTCTCCTAAATCTCTTCAAGCAGATTAAATCGACTCTTTTATTTCATCGCACTTTCATCTGGAGAGCGAGACCGCCCCTCTCCCTCTGTTTCTTTCGCTCTCCGTGTGTCTCTCGGAGCCTGCGGCGCACAGCTCGGGTTATATCTGCGCTGCATCCTCCACGGCGCACAAAGCAAAGTCAATCTAGTTTGTAAAGGAACCTTATTAGGACGTGTATTGTCAATTTGCGGGTTAATTATGCATTTGTTTTGTTTCACTGGGACTGATTTTACATCGAGAGCTCAAACTGTTTACTTTGGAACAAGGAGCCTATTATCTTCTCAGATGATAACTACCATATTCCCTGCTTTAGGCAATGGAAATACCAGCTGTACACAATTAAAGAGATACACAGTGGCCTAAATAGTCATCAGAATGTGTAAACATCATGGTCTGAAAGTCACTTGTTGTTTTTTTTTTATTATTAGAATTTATGATTAGTTAAAAAAAATCTAAATAATAAAAAGTTTGCTTTTATATTTAAATAATATAAATGTATTTAACAGTAGCATCTTACAAATTCTTTAAACGTTAAACAAGAAGTCTTTAGTTCTCAAAAACCTATATACCCCGCTTCATTTTTAGATTTATTTGACAACAGTTTTGGCCCGCAGGCCCATTTTTAGGGCCCTGGCAAACTGTTAACATCATGGTAATTAACCCTGAAGACAAAGTTAATGATTAAAACAGACATGGTGTACCCGCCTCCACCCTCCTCCTGCTTCACATATTCACAGTGTATCTTTGAGAGTTCGAACTTGCTTAGGTGAAATTAGCTCGATAATACAGAGGAGCCTTGTCGAAGGCCAATACACTTACGTTTACCCCAGCCGTTTGTATGCACACACATGTTCACGCATTCCACTCTGCAATGCAAACAGTCAAAGGGATAACTTTATTTTGGTGAAAGAGGATCCTGGAAAGGGCTAATTGAATAAGCCCAGGATCTTTGAAAAACCCCTACCATGGTGAGCGCAGTCATCATGTCATAATTAGGTTTATTGAGGCACATTCCTTCAATCTGCCTCCATTCTGCCCGCCTCATTGTGTCCACAACCCCAGGCCAGTAGCTCAGGGACAAAAGGGAACCATGCACAGACAATACATGAAAGAGCTATAAAGATTTAGCGAGCTTTGTCACAGAAACAGAGCGGGACTTTGTTTGTGTAAATAATGCAACTGAATGAGGAACTTAGGTTCCTCTGCCACTTGGGGTGTGGGACCTTGAACTGCAAATGGTACGAGGGGGGCACAGCCCACATTGGTGCCACAACAGAGGGGATAAAATAATGAAGAACATGAGGAGGAAGGGGCAGACAAGGAGGCAAAGATTAAGTTTAGAGCTAAGTGAGGAGATTTATTTTAGTGATGAAAAAGTTTAGAGGAGACATTTAAACCTCAATTTTGACTGCTGATATTGCTAATGATTGGTTGTTTTCTGGGAACATTTTTTCCATAGTTTTTGACACAGAAATGATCTATATATAAGAATCATAAACCCAGCCACTCAAGAACATATATATAATGGATGAATTTGTAGATGAATTTGTAGCTGTTATGCAGTAAACAACTAGGTTGAAAATCAAAATTTCCAACTGTATAGCAGTAGGGTAGGGTATAACTGTATTTTACACACTGATTTAATTGCTTTTATTTAAAATAGTAAAGCAATAAATTTTTACTGCTGCTAAAATAGTAATATAACAAGCTGAACAGTGATTATAAGCTTCACTATAACATTTTACTTTGATTCTGATGCAGAAACGTTATAATAAACAAACTATGTTGTACTTTTGAAGTACTTATTTTATTATATATATTACATATATATTTTCTGCTCTTTGTAGTGTAACACAAGTCTTACATCATATCAGCTTTTAGGCTATCTCTTCTGCAGTTTTAGAATAATTCTTTCTTGTTAAGACTCATGGATGGCTCTTTTTAGCTTCCACATAATTTTTTGCAACCTACAATATTTGTAAGAAAATACATGAATTTGACTTTCCTTTAAGTGAGAAAAAAATGAAGCAA